CCACCTCAATCATTTATTTAACCCTGACAGATAAAAAAAAAAACAATTTGGTTAAAATGCAAGTATAGACAAATGGCTGAATACACAGTTGAAATGCATATTTCTGAACTGGTTTTGTGCCAAAAAAAGTACTTCTGTTAATCCAGTCTTCTAAATCAGACATCCCTGCCACAAACTATGTAAAGACCTCACCATTTACCTTTGTCCGCTCAAAGCTGTAGAACTTGGTCAAAGCTGCAATTGGATAGTAAAGGAACAGCAGCTCACTCATTAGGTCATCTCTGTGTTCTCTCCTTCAGCCAACTCTGTTGGGTTCACAGCACTGTGTAGGCAAGCCAAAATGTCTAGAAGTGCTGCTGCTCTTTTGTCTCTGCTGGTCGGCTAGGTGGTACAGTAGGCTAGAGACAGATAAATGTAAAATAACATTTTAGTTGTTTTAATGAAGATATGCCTGGGATAAAGTGGGTCCTATATCTGTTCATGCTTTAATATTAACTTATAAAGAGTATACATAAATCTCCAGTATAGACACATTTATGTTCATATACATTTTGCACTGAAATAAGGCTTTCTATTACCTTGTAACTTAATACATAATACGCTGCACTCCTCCTCTTCATTATAATATACAGTGTAATTTTGTTAATTATATTGCAGCTAAGCTTTTGTTTGTTTCCTCTGTAATATGTAATAAATGTAATCTACTTGCCTTGAGGACTTATTGCTTATAAGGCCCCTTTCACACAGCCACTCAATGTTAGTCAGTGAAGCTCAGTGATAGTCTATGGGCAGGCGGGTGTAAACAGATGTGCATCCCCGTTTACATCTGACTAACTCTGGTTAAAAAAAATAAGAGTTCAGATTTTTCAGACGTGAACTCTTAAAGGATGCTTGTCCGTTTACATCCACCTGCCCATAGACCTAACATGGTCCATTAATCTCGGTGTTTTCCCTCTATCACAAGATAGGGGAAGAAAACAGAACAAACAGGGATGTTACAAAGGTCAATGGATCCCTTGCTGTGTGAAAGGGGCCTTACAGGTGGTCCAGGAACCAACTCTGTCTGTTTTGGGTCCACTACACCTATCGCACAAGAAATGCTGCACATTGGCCTTCTCACTTTTCATTATCAGCACTAGTTGTTATTTTAATTCTTTACAATAAACTGTGTTATGTTCATTATATTTGGTTAAGTGCTTCTATTGTGGTTTCTAACATCATATGGCTATTGCTTCTTATAGCACTATTTGATATTTCTATCACTATTAGTATATCCAGGATATAATTAGATGGCCCCTAGTTGGACATCACTGCCCTACACTCGAAAATATAAATCGTTATTTGATGGGCTTCATTTTTAGAATTTAAGGGAAAAATATATGTACTGATGTGACATATATTCACATCCTATAGAGTACACATTTATTTATAATTTTCTAGACCGAGCGCAACTCACTTGCGATATAATATATTCCAGGCTGTCGTGTTTTCTTTCTTTCACCTCACCTGTCTTTTTTTCTGTCTGTGAAACACTTTGTTTATAAGACCAAATTACTAAATGTGATATTTATTACTGGTTATCTTCTCTTTCTTTCTTCTTTTTTTCCCCGTCTATCCTTTTTCTTCTCCTTACAAAAGGAAGAAATGTCCCTGGAAAGCAAATGAGAGAGGTTAGTGAGAGCTGGGCTCGCTGCCATCCAGCTTGTGTCTGTCACATTTCACATCCTATGTCTGGCATTTGTACAGCTACTAGTCTCTTTAGCCGAGTGCCTCTTACAAACGTCCTGTAACATGCCAACATTTACTACCTCTCATCAACTGTTAGTAGGATAGCAGCAAACCAGTGGAAAGGTTCCAGTGTATGACCTACTTTTGCTTAGGATCAATTGAGCTGTAACTATAATGTCCTTTTTCAGTTATTCTATTTCCATCTACACATAATGAATCTAATTCCTTGTAATTGGGTGTCATTCTATTATTCATACATTATATATTTGCTGTTTATCACTGCAGCAATTTAACATACTGTTTATTTTAGTTGTTCATTTTGTATTATAGTTATAAAGAAAACAATTTTATTAAAAAGACCGGGCTGTATGCCTGACACATCTTTATATAGAGTTGTAAGTTACAGACAGTGATTTAAGGGCCAAATAATTTTTTGTTTAAGGAGAAATAAATTGAATAAAACACAAAATGTTATGCTATTTCTTCTGTAATTTCGCTAGGGAAAATTATTGACCGCTCTGAATGAGCTAATTGGTTTCAGACCACTAATATGTAATGCTGAAAATATGGCTTATAAAAAGAATAAATGGTTAATTTTTTTTAGAAATGTCCTTGCCCTTTCCCTTGCCCAAGGACACATGTGGCACAGAAAAGGGCTGCATTTGGCCAACGACAGAAACTGCTGTTTTTAGGAGTTGAGAGGTTAAAAACCTTGCCATGTCGTAATTAACCCTTATTTGCATCATCATCAACAACGACTATGGTTGTTTTGCACATTTGGCATCTACTAACATCAAGATGCTTATAGTGTTTACTGCATTTGTCTTTCTGATAGTTTCTAAGAATGCTGATAGTCTGATAGTTTCTAAGAATGCTGTTTTGTATATTTGCATGAAGTGTGCAAACCTAACCTATGACCTATCAATTTGGCATGTATAAAGCCAAGACTGTCCCTCAGGAGGTCAGCATGCGAATGCAGAAGCCACCACAGATTTACATCTATGATACAAAATTGCTAACAGTTTAAATATGAGATCTCTAATACTTTACCAGTAGCAACTATGGAAAGGTTTTATTTAAACTCCTTTTAAATAATGCTTTATCTACTCTAAAATAGTATGTAGAACTGATAAAATGAAAAATCAACAAATAAAACTATACATGAGTACACACTGTCCAAACTGTCTCAGTACTTGTAGGTAAGGGAAAGTAGTAATGCTACATAATTACACACACAAACTTTGTCAAACTTTATGTGCTTAAACAGCTTCTGCTTTGCTTTTGGGCTGAGTATATCTCTGGCAGACACTAGTCGTATGCATAAATATAACTGATTTGTGAGTGTTGCGTTGTCTTTTGGTACTAACTAATGAAGGAGGCTCTCTTGGGCTTCATTTACCTTGATGAAGACAGGTGTATCTGCATTTATTAGCTGACATTTTTTATTCAAACTTTCCACCTGACATTTAAGAAAACGTCTGTGTCTGAGATTTTTCTATACAACGATAAGAACATTTGATTGCATGAGCTGTGATCATATTCACTGAAAATTACTTAAATTAAACCTGTGGGTGAAAAACAAAAGTAAAGTATAGAGCCAAAACCTTTATTTTAGTTCTAGTGGGAATGGTGAGCGGACGAATAGCCCTGTCAGGTTTTTATCACTGCCTGTGTCCCCATTAGGGGAATTTAGTCTCTAGGTGATCTGCTGACAACTGTTCCTGAAAATTAGGATAAAAACTAAAATTTTACTTCACTGCCAGACTAGGAATAGAGGGAAAATCTCAACAATGGGACGGAGAAAAAAAAACTGACATGAGTTTTTACCATTCCCTATGCTATTTAAAAAAAAAATGTTTTGGGCTTTAGTTATAAACGCATCCCAACCGCGATTAATTCTAGACTGTACATAATTAAAGAAAAAAAGAAACTGCCTGCGCCACCTCCGGAAATAGCCAAGGTATGGTGGGACAAGTCTCTCCCATGACTTAGTGACTTATCAGCCAAATTGCTGTATTGGGGGGTCCCTAACCTTTTGCAAAATCCTTTTTCAGCAAGTTGAGATCTGCATGGCAACCTCTGTGACATTTGCCAGTGCTGACAAAAATATATGTTTTTTTTATCAAGTCTGGTATCTTAATGTCCTTACTAGTTACATTTCTTTTAGTTAAAGCACAGATACACTTTAAAGGAATTCTAAATCCCTTTATGGGAAAATATCATACTTTGACTGTTTCAGTTCTGCCTATTTGCCTTCTTTTAATGATCTACCAGACAACAGCTGTCTATCCCTACCTACACATAGTGGTAGGGTGAAGGAGAGGGTCAAACAGATGGGAAATGGGGCTAGACAATCCATCATTGAAATCTGAAGCCTGCCTTGTATCAACCTTCCAACATCTATGTGGCATGTAATTGTTTATATTGTTCATTTTGCATCAGTTATACAGACAAGCCCAGTGTGTGTTTCTTGTTTTGATCTGCTTTAATGCTTGTATAGAAAGAAATTTTAGTTCTGCCATTGCTAAATAGTTTTTGCAAGGTACAGGCTATAGGCCTGTTGTTTTTAACTTGCCATCCCTACCTAATGGAACACTAACCTGTAACAAGTATGCATGGCAAGATTTCAGACTTTTCAGCCTTTGTGTGCTTGTTCCAGGGAAGCAACCCAGTTGGCAGTGATACCAGGATCAGAATTACAGCTCTGGAGCCTGTAATTCTGAAAAACAAGTTGGCAACAGTAGTGCCCATATATCTATCCTCACAGGTTTCTTTTAAAGTGGTAAAATGTTTAAATCCCTTTTATTTTTATTTTTTATTATTTTTGGTTGAGACACTACCAGAGAACAGAGAGCACAGCACAGACATGTTATAAGCTAATCTATCTGAGGTGTCAAGTCTTTTTCAACGAAAGTCAACTCTGTCACAGTCTTTACCCCTCTGGAGCTCTTAACAAGAGTGTGCTCCAAACCCTTGAAAAGCATTGCCTGTAATACCACTTGTTAACAGAGGAATAGATTCTTCAGTAACTCAAGCCTCATGACTCTGTCATGGCACTCCTCACCCATTACATACTGAAGTAGCCATTAAAACCTGACCTATGTTCTAACACTTTTATGCTCTATTCAAAACAAAAACCGTTTTAGCTACAGATATACTTTTAAGTACATAGGTGGGAAAATGTAATGGCATTTGTTTAAATTCAAGTGTTTAAAAGCAGAGATCCTTTCCATTAATGGCGATTATAATGTATGTTGCCTTTTCTCTTCTAGGAAACCATGTAGGAAATCTCTTTCACATGGCTGATGATTTGGGAAGAGCGATGGAAACTTTAGTCACGGTCATGACTGACGACGAGGTGTTAGAGTAACAACTCCCTACGCACCGCATGTGTTTTTTATATAACTATCTTCGTACAACAAAAAAGGGGATTAGACTGTAAGAGTTTACAAGCAAATATCTATATTTTTGTGAAGGGTAGTGGTACTATACTGTAGATTTCAGTAGTTTCTTAAGTCTGTTATTGTTTTGGTAACAATGGCAGGTTTTAAATGTCTATGCAATTGTACAAAAACCAATAGGAAAAATACATGTAAAATCTTGATAGCTTAAAAAAAAATCTTGCCATTTCTTTTTACAGAGGGCAATTTTGGGTTGTTTAAAAAAATTTATATCAGTTATAAAGAAAGATTGTAAACTAAAGTGTGCTTTATAAAAAAAATAATTTGTTTATAAAAAAAATCCTTTTGAAAAAAGGAAAAAAAACAGTGCATTGTTTAGAATTGCCATGGCTTTGTAACTGTATATCAACAATATTCATATTAAGTGTCATTTTTTTTTCCTTGTGTATCAAAGAACATCAGTTATAGCACCAAATATGACATGGACTTTGTGTTTCACAGACACACTTGTTAATTGATGAACAATGGAACTTTGGCAAAAGTTTTTTTTTTTTCATTGACACAAGATACATCTAGACCAGCGATGGGAAGCCTGAGCTAGAGTATTTTTCATTTTATGGGAACAGCTTCACAGACGGAACTAACAATTCATGGTTACTAATGTAATGTACTTTTATAAGAGCCCACTCTAACACAATAGTATTGTTTAAGCTTGTATCTCACAGCTTACTGTGAACACTATTGAGCCCTATGGGCAAGGTTTCTTATTTTTTTCATACTATGTATAAGACCTCTTTATTTTAGAGCAAGTGTACCAGTATCCAGTTAGCAATCGACAATTTTACTTATGCCAGAGCAGTCTGGAATACCGTTACTAATTTTAAACATGTAACAATGCAATTGCTAACCGGGGCCGCGGTACTTGATGCTGTCCTTTTATGCTTTAACAAATGCATTATGCCATATGTGCTAGAGCAAGCCCTAACTTTTTTTTACCATAATACTCATTGAGGAAATGAATGTGGGACAAGTAAAAGTAGGGCTGCACTGCCCAAGGTTTTATAGCCGATTGGGTTCCATTTTATTTTAACTTTGACTTCTTTTGCTTGAAATCGTTTCCAACTAGATTACTTTTAGATATCTGGAGTAGCTAACATTTTAAAGGGATACTTAATTTAAACTGTGGTATTATGTAAGTGTTCCATCAGGATATGTTTATGTCCTAACTTAATGCGTGCAGTTAAGCAATAATTGTATGAATCGGTAATCAATGTGTATGTGATCTAGTGCCCAGGAGTCTGTTCTTATAATAGAACTGTGTAGATGAAAATGTTTGTTACAGTCAAGAGCCATCTGACATAAAACTATGAAAACTGGTGAGCAGAAAGGGCAGTCGGTGACAACTAGCAATTAGTATGAGTTTGTTTTCACCTTCAGAAACTTGTAGTCTAGAAAGTCCTATTGCTGAAGGCTAAAGGATCCTTTCATTTAACCCGGTTTTCAAAAATATCTCCTTCAATGAATGGTTCATCCAATAAAGAAAATGCCTCCAAGTCCGTTTTTACATGACTGTGGGGTTCATATGTGAGAGTGTTTTCGCAGGCCCTCGAAATGTTTGATCTACATTCCTCTGAGGGTAGCTGTTATTCCAAATCTGTGAACCCTTTAGTGATCGAGTTGATAGTACATTTTAGTCTTTAAAGCCACAATTTAAGATCTCATGGTTGTCCTGTTGCCTTGTTTCCAGGGATCACTGTAACTGCTCAGGCGAATTACTGGTACCTTCATGATATAGGGTTCCTTGCAAGTTAAGCTGCACTATAAACCCCTAATGCAGTTTTAAACTTATCACTAAAAACACCCTTTAACTCTCTCACTCTCATTAAGATATGTAAAAGCCAACTCGTAATTTTATGCTTCCAGACTTCTTTAATGTATGAATGATGTTTGCTCACTTTATTAAGAGGTTTATGAACAAACAAAAAAAGTGTGTTTACAAGAAAATTTCTTGTCAGTTGTTTGAAAACAAAAGAATATTTCTGACTGGTTGCTATAGCAACAGGAAATGTTCATGTTAGCACATTTTTTTAAATATACATCAACCAGACAATCTTTAACTTCAATGTGTCTTCTATCCATTGATAACGTGGGATTTCCAAATCTACAAAAACAACCTTTTACTTCAATGTTGTTACTATCTATTGATAACTTGAGATTTTCAAAACTATAGAAACACCTTTAATGTCAATCTTGTTTATATTGATAATGTCTGATTTCCAAAGCTACAAGGACAAAGTCTTCAACAAAAGATGCTCCACAATAAAAATGTCCATTTGGTTCACAAAAGCTCAAAACTAAATTTTTTTGTTTTTCTTAGGAACCATTCTGTTGCAATGCAACCTAGATTTCATGCAATCTCAGAACTCCAGGTTGATAAGCAAGTATATATGTGTGTTGTTAAAATGGACAACCTCCTTATTGTGTCACTAAGTGTTTTCTAGGAATTGTGTACAAGCCCTGTAGCAATGAAAGACTATAAAATGATGAAGATAATGAAAAGGCACTGGTTATATAAAAATGTGGTTCTGCACCCGTTTGACTAACTCTTTAATTTGTATGTCTGTCAAATCTGCACACTGGCACTTTGGAAATGTAGTATTTGGTCGGTGGTCTTTGTGCTAAAGGTAAAAATGTAAGGTCAGTGACTGCATTATCTGACGGTCTCTTCTGCTGGTAATAGAGTCATTGTCCGTGACTAACTGACTAATTACCAGGAACACCAATTCCACTTAAGCTGATAGTAGGCGATTGCTGCTTCCCAGCACCAAAAATTGTAGCTATTTCCTTATTTTGTCCTGTCATGCGAACATTGAAGTAGTTGTGAAGTGAATTGCTTTAACAGAGTTCCCAGAAATGATAGCTCTCCAGTAAAAGCAATCAGCGGAATCCATTTTCACCAAATGTGTTCTCGGCTTCCCATCAGAGTTTAGATCAGCTGCATGGCAACATGTCAACAGTCTAAAACAGGGTAGAAAAACTACAACTGTGTGCTCCCCTTCAACAGTCCAAACATCCATATGTAAAATAGAACTTCATGTCTAGAGACAGAGATGCTTCCCTCAGTTGCACTGTTCTGTTAGCAGGTTACATAACCTTAATTGCTGATTGATCATAGCATTTCAGTTCATGTCTGTGTGTACACACGTGGCCATTTAGATCAATCTGGCACCTTCTAATATGAGAGATTCGCTGCCTTGCCTATATCATATTGTTATATTACATGGAATGATGTGCTAAGGACAACCGAATGGTCTTTCAAAATTTGTTTGATTTTGTGTTTACTGTTTCCAGACATGGCTAACCATGTTGCATCTACCTCACTATGGCTTTGTGGTGTTTCTAAACATGCCATCAAAACATGAAACATTGCCACTATATCCATTGTGTAAGCAGCCATTTTTAATCAACCTTTTTGTTAGCATATCTGAAAGTGTGTTCCCCAGCCAGAGTGAACTACTTATAAATATTTACCATTTTCTTGTTTTATTTTAAGTTTTTTTTATATATATAATATTTATAGTTCCTGTGGCTGGTCTGTTCACTTCAGAAAATACTAATTGTTTGCTCACAAAGGGATGCCAGACTACAGTTTTGAAATGTAACTAAACTGCCGAATAGTATAATGGTAAAGTATTAAACATTCATTTAAAAAAAAAAAGTACATAAGTTCTACTTTTCTATTTCCCAGTAAAAATAAGCTATACAGCAATATTAGATATTGGCTTGTTGTATAAAAGAGAGAGAAATAGACGATAAATCAAGAATAATGTTTTGCCTAAATAGAACGTACACACGCCACCATTTTATGTTGAGATTAAAGGAATAGCTTTAGAGAATGAAACTAAAGAGTTAAATCGCCTAATAATTACATTTACAGCCCCTTCTCGTAGCTGGTCTCTGTGCAGTCTTAGAAGCTTCTGCTGCCTGGCGGGTTTGTGATGCCAGTGGGAAATTTATCGGTCCGGCTGGCCAAGCAGAGCTGCAAGATAGCAGAGCTTGGTGTCCCGGGACCTGAACTGTAGCAGATAAGGAGAATGCTCGGCGAAGTAGAGTATATATTACACATGTGATTTGACTTTTTCCTCTTAACAAAAAAAATGTATTTTGATTGAAAAGACGTTTAGAGAATTTATTATTATGTAAATCCAAGCCTTTATCTATACTTAGGAGCAAAACATGTTGCTTAAATAAGAACCTGAAAGCATTTTAATGCAAGTCATTCCCAGGATGTGATGATGAGCAAAGGTATAGGCTGTGCTGTCACATAGCAGCACTTCTCTCCTGACAGTGCTGGTCCTGCGGATAGTCTTCATTGGAGCTTCAAGGCTAAATCACATGGCTGATTTTACTCATGCTACTGAGCAATTAAACCTCTTGATTTCTGCAAATGAGGCCATAGCCTAAATCACTCATGTAATTTAGCCCAAACTCTGGCAGTGCTATCAACATTGGATTTATTTTCCTTTAACTACTATATTATGGCCCTTATTAAAATATTGCAAAGTGCAGTGATGTGTAATCAGCCTCAGTACTCATTTCAGCAATCTGTTGTAAGCAGATTAAGTAAAGAAGTGCTGCAGTTAGTTGCTTATTGCTTACTACTTGAACGAATAAAAGGCATGCTTAACCAGCTTTCCATAATAGGAAAAAAATGTAAGGAGATTTAATATGTGATATTTAATACAACACACAATGATGAGAGGTGTAGCGATTAGAGACAGAGCGGGCACAGTTTGGGTATGTACAGAACATCGCCCAGGATTCATTTCCATATGTGCTGATCTGTATGGGGACTGCAGCTGCCTCTATACACTGTTCCATTTCAGTTGTGTTTTTACACCTGTATAGAGCAGGCAGCAAATGTCTTTAGGTTAAATAGAAAAGTGTATACATTCAGCCATAGTTACCATATAGATAACTGATCTTATACTGATTCTCAAGTACTGTGTAATACAACATAGCCACACTCTGATGTTGTGGCAACCGCATACTGACCCATTCTGTATGAAATGTTATGCTTGAATTTACATGCAGAGAAGTAGTAAACGTGAAGAACACCATTGAAATGGAATGTTATTGGGATAAATACTAGACCACTGTATTGTAACAGTTAATACACTGGGGTTCCTTGGAAACAACACTGCCACTTGGCTGCCTACACTGGGATTCAGTGAGAAACTAGCTGCACGTATTCTTACAACCCAATCCATTGCTCTCATGCCCCAGACATTTATGGGGAGTGGGAATTAAACGTAGTTAATTTAAAGCAGCGTTCCTTCTTTCTAATTTTGGCTTTCATTATTGAAACGCAGGTATTTGTTAGTAAATGTGTTTACAAGCAGAGATCGCTTTGCACAATGGTCAGTTCCCATCTATTATTTCTACATGTGCAAAGTTGATTATCGCATTTTTCAGGGGATGATTTATAAACCAGCTGCCCTGCCACACGGATGCTGTTCGCATTTCATTCCCACCTATCTATATCTTGGCTATATGGAGCGGAGGCGCATAGGAGTTTCCTATGCCATGTAAACAGCTTTCGCCCAACGTATGGCTGGGTGGATTTATAAATCATTCCCCTAGTGGCCTATATTTTGCTACACTATGTCCCAAAACAAGGTGGTACCCAGCAGATAGTGTTCAATTTTAGAATTGTATGTTTATAATTGCTATATTCATTAGGATTATTAAGCAAGGGGTTTTACTTTACTTATAGTTACTTAGCAAGATTAACTTTGAGAAAATGCTACAATCACTACTACACTTGACCCCATCATAGTACCT